TATATATATATATATATATATATATATATATATATATATATATATATATATATATATATATATTAAAAAGCAATGATAGAATAAGGAATACATTGTAACTAGGGGCTTACTAGTCATAGTGCGGTTTTTTCCAACTACAGTGCGAAATAATTCATTTGTCAAAAAATACTTTAACTTTTTACAAAATTCTCACAACCTCCAAATATTTTGACTTTTGTAGATCGTGATTTGTTTTCGTAGAAATCAGTTAAAACCCAACGATTATCAAGATGGCCAACATCGATCCCGTAAATGAGGTAAAAAAATTACGTTTTAGTGTGATTTTTTTCGATTTTCAGTCGTTTCGTGTAGAATATCAGGAAATTATTGAAGTCGTTTCGTAGTGGTTTGCACGAAATTAACACCTTATTCATGTTTTTCAGTCATTTCGTGTACAATACTACGAAATTGTACCTCTTATTTCGTGTAAAGTCACACGAAACAGCAGTAAACTATTTTGTTACTCATTTCGTGCAGTACTACACAAAATGTATGCATTAATTTCGTGTACTTTTACACGAAATACCTAGTATTTTTTTTATTTTGATCCCTCGGTTTGTATTTTGATCCCTCGGTTTTGGGTGCAAGTATTCATTTTGTTTTGTATTTTTTTTACGCAGCCATATGACGACAATTTGTATTTTGATCCATCGGTTTTGGATCAAAATGAATATGAAGATTTCTCTCACTTCTTCCAAGTTGATATTGTGTTCGGTAGTAGGGAAGAATTAATCAACTGGGCGAAAGCAACTGCAGTTAGTCATTGTCACAGTTTGATTTGTCAGTCTAAAAGGGAGAATGCCCAGTACCTGACGTGTGACAAATACGGACATGGCCGACAAACGAATATTGATGTGGAAGATCCTAGAAATACAGGAACAAAAAAATGTGGTTGTCCGTTCAAATTGATTGGCAAAAAGTCAAGGTTTGATGAATTATGGCGGTTGACTGTCAGCGATGGCAGGCATAGTCATCGTCCGGCTTTGTTTCCTCACGGACAAGGTACGACTAGTCGTATAACTCCACAACATAAAGCAAGAATTAAAGAATTGCGAAATTCTCACGTGAAGCCAATGCTAATCATGGATAGATTGAGGAAAGATGATCCGATGATACAAACCTCTATGAAGCATGTTTACAATCAGTTGGTCAAGATTAAATCTGAGGAAGTGGAGGGCATGACTGTTATTCAGTTTATGATGCATAACTTTCAACAAGGCGAGTATCGATATTGGCATCGCGTCGATAGTGAAACGAGCAACACGATTACATATATTATGTTTGCATGTCCCGAATCTATTAAGTTATTACGGCTATTCCCGTATGTTATATTGATGGACTGCACATACAAAACCAATAAGTAAGTAAAAATTACGATTGTTTAAATTATGATTATTGTGTTTTAATGTCTTGTATTGTTTAAAAATGTAAAAACAACATTGTTGTAGGTATGGAATGCCTCTTTTGGAAATAATTGGGATAACTCCAGTTGGGAGGAATTTTACAATTGCTGTTGCATTTATGTCGCATGAAGATGCACACACCTACGAGTGGACTTTGAATTGTTTGAAAGAGTTGCTAGATGGTGTCGATCCTGATGCGATCTTGACAGACAGAGAGTTGGGTCTTTTGAAAGCACTGCCAAATGTCTTCTCATTTTCGTATCATATGTTGTGTATATTTCATATAAACAGAAATGTTGAGGCAAATGCGACGAAATTTATGGGAGGCAACAAAGACCAAGGTCTAATATTCCGACGTGTGCTGTGGGCTAAGCTGGTGAAATCAGAAACCGAAGAAGAGTATCATTACAATTACAATGAAATTGTTGGACGGTATGCAGGGTATCCTAGGCTGATACAGTATTTGAATGATACGTGGTTGATATACAAGCAGAAGTTTGTTCGAGCCTATACTCGCAATGTGTATCATTTTGGCAACACGAGCACCAACAGGTATTACATGTTTTAGTTATTTAAATGATAAAGTATATTATATAAAAATAATATTTATTTTGTAATTTGATTGTCGTTGTATGCTTTGATTGTTGTTGTAATTGGATAGGGTGGAGAGTGCTCATTCTTCAGTGAAGGGTTGGTTAATTGCTTCGACCGGAGGTCTGGATAACGTGCAAGGCAAACTTCGGGACCAAGTTTATATCCAAATTAGTCAGCTGAAGTGCGATTTTTCATTATCATCCAAGATAAGGAAGCATACTGCAGCATGGCCGTGTTTTCAGGGTTTGATTTGTTATGTTACGCATCTGGCATTAGAGAAATTGGATGAAGAGATGGAGTCCCCGGCGATGCAAGATCTGAGTATTTGCACACACTATCTTTGAAATACTCATGGGCTCCCATGCGCGTGCAAAATTGTGCAGAAAATGGAAGATAATGACACGTTCGTCATTTCAGACTTGCATCCATTATGGAGTACCATGGCAGTTGAGCCTTCGGAGCTACCTGAGTATCAAGTAAACCGCAAGAAGATTGTGGATAGACAGATTGATCACCTGAATTGCAATTTGAAGAAGATGAATTACACGAGTAAGATAAATTTCTTGGCCTCATTGTGTGGCATCGTTTATCCGTCTACGTCGCATCTGTCCGAGCCATCATTTGTTAAGACCAAAGGACGACCAAAGAATAACTCGACAAAGAGATACCCTTCTGGATGGCAGTATCATATTGATGAGGAGACAATTAAGTCGTCTTGTGGTTCCAAGGGTCGCCAAACCTCATGTGGTGCAAAGATTCCTCAAGCAAAGGTTGAGAGAAGCACTGATGGAACGCCTCAATCGAAGATGAAAGGTCGTGGTTCTCGTATTCCCACACAAGAATTTGCTGCCCCTACAATACCTGCACATGAAGGAATCGACTTTTATTCTTTCGTGCCCAGATTTATGGTCCGTCTTATTCAGGATTATGTTAACGTGATGGCGGATGGCAACTGTGGGTACCGGTGCGTTGCTCAAGCCCTGTACGGGGATCAAGAAAGATGGCCGCAAGTGAGAGGGGAGTTGCTTATTGAGTTATACGAGCATGCTAATGTGTACACGGCGATGTTTGGCAGTACCGAATACGTTGAGGTCATACGCAAGTGTGACTGGACCTCAGGGCTTTGTCCACAAGCTTATTGGATGGACATGAATGAAATGGGATTGGCCATTGCTACCAGATACAGTGCATTAGTGGTACTTTTGACTCAAGTAGGGAGTATGACTTACCTTCCTATGTTTGGCAGTGGTCACTTATCATGTATGATTGTTGTGACATTGCACAACAATCATTTCATGTTTGTTATTTGGTCGCGAATAGTCATCTACCACCAATCCATCCGGCATGGGTACACCATAGAGCTAAAAACTTGAGGCACTTACTCAAAATGTACAAACCCCGACTACTCTTGTACGAACAATTAAAGTCTAGTCGGTAGTTCAATTTGTAGTTGTATTTGAATTCTAGTTCAATTTGGATTTGTATTTGAATTTTAGATCAATTTGTAGTTGTATCTGAAATCTAGTTGAATTTGTATTTGTATTTAAAATTTAGATCAATTTGTAGTTCGATTTTAACTCTAGTTCAATTTGTAGTTGTCTTTGAATTCTAGTTCAATTTGTATTTGTATTTGAATTTTTAGGTCAATTTTGTATTTGAAATTTAGATCAATTTGTAGTTGTATTTGAATTCTAGTTCAATTTGTATTTGTATTTGAATGTTTAGGTCAATTTGTGTATCTGAAATAAATTGGTTAATTAGAAAATAAATCAATTAGTGATTCCGTACTGAATTTCACGAAACATTACATTATATTTCGTGGAAAAATCTACGAAATATGATCTTCCATTTCGTGGCCAACACCACGAAATATGATGTCAAATTTCGTGTATTATTACACGAAATACACGATTTTTTTCAATCTAACAGTTTCGTCCTTCGTGTTCTATAACAATAAACACTTATATTTCGTGTAAAAATACACGAAATTATTGAGTGGATTTCGTGTAATAATACACGAAATAGCGGGGGAATTTGGTTTTTTTTTTTAGGAAAGTTACAAATGAAATAAATCGCACTGCAAGGCGGTAAAAATTGCACTATGAATAGCATTTCAGTTGTAACTAAAAGACAATATGAGACCAAAACGAAAGAAAATCCACGGCTTTCCTTTAAAATGAAACTATTAGCCTTCAAAACAATGGAAATAAACATATAAATATGATCCAAATTTATTGAAATAAAAACATGAAATAAAAACATAAAAAAATAACATAAAATTAGAATTTTTATCAAAAATGAAAAATGCAAAATTGGTGGAAGTATAATCTTTAGTCTTTATATACTATTGGATTAAAAAAAAAATCAAATCATTACCTAAAAACATGATATTTCGAATTAATTTTGTGAAATTCTACGAATATAATATATTTCAAGGAATTAATACAAAAAAAAGTTACATAGAAATACAAAAATATAAACATAATATAAAAAAAATTCAAAAATATATACATAACATAAAGAATTGAATATTCATACATTAAAAATTGAGTTTTGAATTTTCTAAAATATATAGGCGGAAAATATATTTCCAAAATTTTAAAATATTAAAAAGATAATATATTTCGAATTTATAGGATATTAAATGCATGAAATGTTTTTTGATATTTTAATATTTAAAAAAATGTTTTTTTCTGAAAATTATTTGAATATTCGTAAAAAAATTGAGTTTCATGATTTTTTTCAATAAATATATTTTGAAATACTGAAAATATAAATAAGATTTTTTTTTTCGAATTTATAAAATATTAACTTTGGAAATAATATATATATATATATATATATATATATATATATATATATATATATATATATGTGGTAATTGTTTAAATGCGTGTATAAATGTTAAATAGAAAATAACTTAAATACATACCAAAATAAAATTGACAACTCATCAATTGAAGAATCCACCTCATCAATTGAAATCCAACTAAGAGGGTGTTTGGCTAAGCTTATTTTAAATAGCTGATAAGCTCTTATGTCTGATAAGATGTTTTAAGAGCTGATAAGCTGTTACATCTTATTTTTAGGATTAATTTTTAGAGTGTTTGGATAATAGGCTTATTTCCTATTTTTACTCATTAAAAGATCTTAAATAAAAAGGTGGGGTCGAGGTACTTATTTAAAAATATCTTATTTGCTCTCCAACAGCTTATTTTAAAAAAAAATTAAGATATTTTTCTAAAAATTTACCAAACACTTTGGAAGAGCTTATAAGCTCTAAAACATCTTATAAGCTCATTTTAACATCTTATAAGCTTAGCCAAAATAAAATTGACAACTCATCAATTGAACTCCAACTAAGTAATTTTTATAAATGATATCATCATTTGCCACGTGTCAATCATTGACGGCATAAATCATCTTTTTATATATTGTGGTCATTAGCAATAAACCCCTCATATAGATAATAAATGGTGATATGTCCACCCCTTAAATCTTTCTTTGTGATAAACCCCTAGAATTTGTATTTCCAATTCTACCCTTATGTCAATTAGCATAATTAGTCTCAATTATTCATTTTTTCTCTATTTCCATAACAATAATCTAATTCCTAAAAATCTGCTTCCAAATTCCTACAAATTTGCTACCAAATCAAAAAAAAAACTGATTTTTTTTATTTTTTATTATTTTCGGATTTTTTAGCCATTTTTTTATTTATTTATTTTTTAATATTTTTTCTAATAAAAAATATTTTTATTTATTTATTTAATTTTTTAAACAAAAAATTGAAATTTTTTTTTCGCGGATTTATAACTCCGAATATGACTATAGTTGAATATGGCTATTATGTGACTACGCTGTTTATAACAGTGTAATTAACATATTGTAGAAGCATTATTATTAAGATAACAGTAAGAATATGACTATTATGCGAATGTGATTGTGCTTTGTAAAACATTATAATTAACAGACAGTAGAAGCATGATTCTTAACAAAAACAGCGAGAATATGACTATTATGTGACTACAGTTTGTATAACAGTGACTGAACATGAAAGTGAGAATATGACTATTATGTGACTAGGTTCTGCGTAATGTGACTACAAGTAATCACCACTTGAAAAAACTTGCAATATTAATAGCAAAATACATTGCAAAAAGAAAAAAAAAATGACTAAAAAAAGCAAAAAATAACTAATGGGATCTTTCAACAATGGCCATCTAACATGTTTTTTTTTTTGCGGTATTCAACTCGGTTGCACCGACTGCACTTAATCTTCCGTTTGATCTTGTGTGTTAAATATGACTACATTGTTGAATGTTGAACATATGCAGCACTACAAAAAAAAATGACAAATATAACTAAGTTGTTAAACATGACTACTCTGTCAAATATGACTACTCTGTAAAATACACTGCGCTACAACCGACTAATCTCGTAATTCAATGGGTTTTCCAGATCTAAACATTCAGAATATGCAAAATAACACAAAATTAAAATTGATAAAATCCATAATAATTGAAAATCAATGTATGCATTCATAGCAAACAAATAATAGAACTGAAATTCAGATCCATAACATATTCTATTGCTAGTTAGACAATTAATTCGAGAAAAATAAAAAAAAAATGTACCAATTAATATAGTATATATTGGTATTCAGCGTCGAGAGAAGGGAAATCTCCATGTAGAAATCCGACGGAGACGGCGACAAGGTGGGGGAGGCGCCGCCGCCAATTGTATCAGGCGTTGATGTTGTGGTGTTCGACGAGGGGGGAGACGATCTCCAACATCGGCGGAGGAGGGCCTCCTGCAACGGGTTTCGGCCGGCGGCGTTTGAAGGATATTGTTGACTCCGGCGGCGGCGGTTTACAGATCTGAAGAATAAGGAAAAAGAAAAAAGAAAAAAAGAAAAAAAAAAAAAAGAACTGTGAACAGAGAGAAAGATTGAGAGAATGAAAGAGAGAGAGAGCGAGAACAGAGAGAAAAAGCGAGAGAATGAAAGAGAGAGAAATAAAATTGTATTAGGTTAAAAACCTAACACATAGGGGAATTTTAGTCTTATCATGAGTGGTAAGGGGGGTCTCACTAATTTAGATTGGGATATGGGTTATGGGAAAAGTCTTTAAAGTCAATTGGGTTTAGTTCAAAATATTTTCCAAATAAGGGGTGTATTGCATATTTACCGAAATATTATATATAGATTACTTATTAAAAAAAGGAAAAAAGAAAAAAGAAAAAAAAAAGAAGTTAGAGGGCAATTTTGTCATTTCCTACAACAAAAGGAAGAAAAGTCGCAGAAATCGCGCGTGAGACACACGATTTGCGACGAGGGGGTTTTCGCCTTTGACTAATAAATACAGGGGGTTATTTGCTAATTTTTTTATGACAAGAGGAAAATGACGCGCGATTTGCGACGAGGGGGTTTTCGCCTTTGACTAATAAATACAGGGGGTTATTTGCTAATTTTTTATGACAAGGGAAAAATGCACAGTTGAAATTTTCACAGGGATAATAAATGCAATAAGCTCATAAAAATTATCTTGGGTCCAACACTATCTATAAGTTGCCTCTTGACACAGAGACATGTTGAGTTAAAAGTTAAAACCAAGTATAAATAATCTATAAATCAACTTAAAAAGGGGAGAATAAAAGACTTAAAAATAGTATTTTTTTTTTCATGGACACAAGTAAAAGGATATATGGTTTAATTTCAGATATAAAAGGAAGTTTTGAAGTGGTGAATTTTATTGAGACATTGTTGAGCCCTCTCCAAGACATCTTCTGTATTGCACCTCCTCCTCTTTATGATGCTTTCATCTCTATCAACTTTCTTTCTTTTCTTTCTGCTCGATGACTCTGTTTATATAAATTATGCTAAAACAAATTAGAATAAAACAAATAAAACAATATATATATATATATATATATATATATTAATTGGGTGAATATTATTATTAAAGCAGTATACAAACCTTGGGTGTCAGGTGTAAATAAAGAGATTGAAGAAGTGCAGGGGGCTTTGATGAACACAAAGTTGTGATATTGAGATTCTAAATCTGAAATAAAAGATTTGAGCTCCGTTTTTAGAGAATGAAACTTGTTTGGGTGCTGGAATTCCAATTTCTCCAATTCTTCCTTTGCTTCTTCTATCAAACTCATATTCCTCGATGCCACTTGCGCCATTTCTGAATCCCCTCTCCCTCTCTCTCTCTCTCTCTCTCTCTCTCTCTCTCTCTCTCTCTGAACACGAAGAGAGAGAGGGTTTATATATATATTTATAAAACTGTGATATAAGTAATATATATCATTAATATCAATAAAAGACAAAAGGACAGTTGAAAAGTTCTTAAGGGCATCTGTAGTGGATCCCCAATAAAACACTCCCCAAATAGTGGGGTCCACGTGCCACCTACACAATTTACTATCTCCCTAAAAGTAGGACCCACATTTAACACTCCCTAAAAAAAAGGTTCTCTAGTGGTACATTTAAAACTCCCTAAAAATTTGTCCAAATATCTTAAATAATAATAAAATATTAAGGGAGTAAATATAATAATGTAATTAAATTTAATTCTTTGTATTTAATTAAATTAATTTCGTATTAGATTACATTAATTAAATATTAGTCACCATTTTTATTACGTTGTAATATGTATTATTTTATTTTGTTTGTATCCATATTTATATTGATAAAATAATACAAAACATTCAACAAACATAAATGAAATAAAATTAACAAAAATACATAATAGATTGCAGTAAATTGAACAAGCTTGTTAGAACATTCCTCCAACTCTAGACATAAATAGATTAAAGAAAAAGACATTATAAAATTAGTTTTTATTTTTTCTAATACGGCTTAAGATCTCTATTTGTTGTTCAATAATCCAAGCTTTACCTTCCTCTGTAGGTGCCGATTGAGGATCCATCAACATTATTTCTTGCTCGCGTTGTTTTTGTTGATGTTCTTGTTTAGCTGCAATTTCCATTCTCTTTGTTTCTATTTTAGCTTGTAATTTCTGTTGTTCGATTGCATTTCTCCTAATGCCCTCCTCTTCAAAGCGACTTGATTGTTCTTTTCTCATATTAGAAAACTCCTCTACAAATAAATCGATGGAATCGAGATTTTTCTTTCTTCTAGCATTTTTTGCAGTTTTGCGACCATGATGACGTGGTAGTCCATGTGCGCCATCATTAGATACCCCGTCATCAATTTCATGGCCGGTTGAAGTTGGAGTCGTAGCTGGGGCTGATTGATCAGATGATGGAGGTTGTGTATTTGATGAATCTTCAATTTCATCATCATCCAAATCAATTTCAACCCTTTTTTTTTGGGAAGTTTTTTTCTGTTTTCCCTTCTGCTCAATGGTATAATTATACCATTTGGAAGTGTCTTTCAAAATCATCCAACAAGAGTCATATTTGAATTGATGCTCTTCTTTGTCATTGTATAGTTGTTTTGATGCAATCATCTATAACAAAAATCATAATATATTAATGGTTGAACGAAAATTATATATAAATACATATATGAATTTTATTTACTTACATTATCTTCTGCATTGTTTCCACTACGTTGAGCTCTCTCAATCGTACGAACATACCCAGAAAATTTGCTTACACAATGTTGAATGATTTTCCATCGGTGCGCTAGCCCTGACGCATTTCTACCTGGATCATATTCTAAAATAGATATAAATTCAACTCTAATTCTCTCCCACAACCTACCTCTTTGTTGGTCAGTACTAACTATTGCATCTTCTGAAACACGTAACCAGGCCTTGCACAATGCTTCATCTTCTTCCATATTCCAGTTTTTATTTCGCCCCAGAGCCTTGGTCTTTTTACCTGATTTGCTTGTACTTTGTGATTGCTCTTGATTTGGTATTTGAGATGGCCCCGCATAGACGAAAGGATTATAGGAAAATTGTGAAAATGGTTGTGATTGTGTATTGAAATTGTAAGGATTGTATGAAAATTGTTGAGGAAATGTTTGAGACTCGTTTTGTGGTGGTGGTTGAGAGCTATACTCAGGATTGATTCCATAATTGAAGGGAAAACGTGGATTCATAGTAAATTGAAAGACTTTATTGTTATAAGTAAACAGGAGGAATGAATGATAACATCATGTACAACTAGTATTTATAAAATTTTGTAGATAGATTTTAACATGCCAGTAGATATTGTAGATAGATATTTTGTGGACATGTTTTGTTGATAGATTTTTAGTGGATAAATATATGGATAGATTTTAAGTGGATAGATTTTGTGGATAGATTTCTCGATTTTCTCAATTTTAGTGTTGTAGATATGTCAGAAGACCTCAATTATTTTTTCTCAACTTTACAGACTGTCTATAACTGCATTATTTTCTCGATTATCTCAATTTCAGAGATTTTGTCAATTATTTTTTACTTTTTTTTCCAACTCTAATTATCTCATTGGTTTCTGAACCTCAATTATTTTCTCGAGTATCTCAACTTTAATTATTTTATCTTTTTAAATTCAATTATCTTATTGGTTTCTCAACTTCAATTATTATAATGATTTTCTTAACTTCAATTATTTTGATTTTCCAGCTTCTATAAATATTTTCTTCCGATAGAATTGTATATCTACAATAAATTTTATCCCATGATATGGCTTCTTCATCTGGATGGTTTCATTCAAATGAATTTTCTCACATTAAATCATCTAGTTTTTCATCTTCATCCTCATCTTCAGAAGAGGAAGAACTTCTTTCTCTTCGTATGGAGAAACAATCTCAAGAAATGATTAATTTTATCCCTGGGTTAATTTTAGCATCTGAGGAACAACCGCATCAGCGACAATATATATATCGTGATCGTGAAGAGAGTCATAACTTATTATGGAAAGATTATTTTGCTGAAAATTGTACTTTTCTATCATCTTATTTTCGCAGGCGTTTTAGGATGCGCAGGGAGTTGTTTCTTCATATTCAGAACGATATTGAAAAGCATAACAGATACTTCATCCGAAAGAGAGATGGACGTGGTCGTCTTGGCTTCTCATCTATTCAAAAGATAACTGCTGCACTTCGGATTCTTGCTTATGGAGCATCCGCTGATTACTGTGATGAATATTTGAAGATAGGGGAGGCCACTGCTAATGAAACTTTAAGAGAGTTTTGTTCATCGATAATCCAACTTTATGAAGAACAGTACTTGCGGTCACCAAATGCACATGATATCCATCGTCTCCTACAAGAAGGTGAATCCCGAGGTTTTCCAGGTATGCTTGGATCTTTAGATTGTATGCACTGGCAATGGAAAAATTGTCCAACTGCTTGGCACGGCACACACAGGGGTCACCACCACAAACCAACTTTAATTTTAGAAGCAGTTGCATCGCATGATACATGGATCTGGCATTCTTTTTTTGGCATGTCGGGTGGAAATAATGATATTAATGTCTTGGATCATTCTCCACTGTTTGATAATATCATACATGGTAGAATGCCTCCAGTTAATTATACGGTGAACAGTCGTTCATATACGATGGGTTATTACTTAACTGATGGTATTTACCCCAAATATGCAACTCTTATTCAAACCATTGCTCATCCCACCACTGCGAAAGAAAAATTATTTGCGGCAAAACAAGAATCAGTTAGAAAAGACGTGGAGCGTGCATTTGGTGCTCTACAAATTAAATGGGGTATAACGCAAGGACCCGTTCGATATTGGTCAAAAGAGGATATATGTAATATAATGAAAACATGCATTATACTCCATAATATGATTATAGAAGATGAACGTGGAACTGACCTCGAACCATGGGCACCACTTCCAGAAGAGAATTTCCGCCCCCTTCAATATGAACGAGATCCATCGATTTTGGCAGCCTATATCTCAGCACGTCTTAGTCGGATCCGCAATCGACGAACCAATGAAGATTTGAGATCTGATTTAATGAACCATTTGTGGAATATCTACGGAGAAGAAGATGTCTGAATATTTATTGTTTATGTGTATTTCTAATTATAGTTGTGATTTAATGTTCTTTTATTTTCACATTGTTCGTATTATATTTTATAATGTGATCGAATTTAATAAAATTAAATTTCATGAAAATTTATTTTGGAATTTCTTATAATAAAAGTTATGAATATGAGAGACATGTGTGGAACAATCAAATAAATTAAAATTAACGAATTTACAAAATTTAAATTTAATTATAAAATAAATATTTCTTGTATTACTATAATGAAATTGAATTATTAAAATTAAAATATAAGTTTTTTTTTTTACCATATTAATGAATTTAAATATAATATTTATTTTACTATTAATATTAAAATCAATGAAATTTAAATATGTAATTTCTAAAAATTATAAAATAATTAAAGAATTATTAGAATTAATTATTACTTATCATAATGGAAAAAAAGAAAAAGAAAAAATAAATAATTAAAGCAGATTTGGTTGGCACACATTCCAAAAATACATTAAAATAATCAAAAGGGCTCCACATACACTCCCCAACCATGGATTAACTGTGGGCACTTTAATTGGGAGTCCCTTGCCACATGGCACATTTAGGGAGGCTGGAGAAAAGCACTAGAGGAGTTAAAATCAACAATTACTCCCAATATTCTAAAATTCTGACAAAAATATTAAATTGGGAGTGGCACTACAGATGCCCTTATTTAAGTAAATCCCAATAACACGTCACTTCAAATATACCCAAATAAAAAATTAAAGAAAATAAATAAAAAATAGTTATGTTATTATGGACTAATTAATTAATTTACCTTGGCAATTCGATACCAAAGATTCTCGTCGAATGTAGATGCGGTGAGTATGACTTGAGGAAAACTAGTCGCCGACTTGATAGTCTCGTCGAACGTTACGCCGGAGTCTGCTGTCGTGGACCCCGCGATGCCATGCAGAGACTCTGACCACCACTGGTAGTACGGTATCCCCAACCGCGGAACGGCCGACGCCTTGTTGACCAGCTGCGAGATTTTCTCGTCCAACGAGAGTCGGGATATCAAGTCGCGGGCCCGCTCGTGTATCGGCAAATCGGAGTTGCAGAACGGGAACGACTTTGTCGATGTGACGACTGAGTCGCACGAGAATGGCGGGAGTTTATTGGCTGATTGAGCCTTTAAGATTTCAAGTAATATGATAGAGGATATTATTGTAAATTTGAGAGCCATTTCTATTTTTGAGTGGAATTGTAATTTCTTTTTTCATGTTATG